CAGACATCTTTACAAAGGGTTTAAACCTTTCCAGACATCATGATCTTTGTGACAAGTTGGGCATGATTGATATCTATGCTCCAACTTGAGGGCGAGTGTTGTCAGTTGTTTATGTATTCAGGTTTAGTACCATAAGGGTACTGTTGTAATTTCTCCTTTGTTTATATTGTTCGACTGTACTAGTATAAATAATAAAATCATTCTTTCACCCCCTATGTTCTGGAGGGCTTTCAGTCACTCGACTCACCTCTCTTCTCTCTTCTCCTCTCCTCTCTTCACTTGCTCTTGCTCAACACCAAGTAATGTTTGATAGGAAAAGTGCCATTTATCTTGTAAGGTAGCTATTCATTCATGTTAAACAAGCTAGGAGATAAAAAGAAAATGTTATGTAGAAGTATCATCAAGAACCCATGGATTATTGTGTATCCAACACAGATACATCATCCATTTACTAGAGTCCATGCAACACTGGCAACTATTCAAAGCATTGATTTTCATGTATCTGCCTAAGATACATATCTTTCCCAGTTTCCCCAACTCAAGGATACCATTGATATCTGGACCATGTACTTGATGTGTGATGTGACCTAGGTGCCTCTGTGAGGCCACAGACACATGTACATGCACACAGAGATCCACAAATCATATAAATGCAGATAAGCTACTAAATATTTGTGATTTCTTGCAGCATTTAGCAGCATCTAGAGGTCATGAAGATATTGTGAAGTTTCTGATGCAGCGAGGAGCAAATGTCAATTGCATTGGTGAATGACTAGATAATTTTTAACTCCATATTTTCTTCTTTTCTTGTTTCACTTTCCATTTTTCCTTGTATATATTTTCCTTAAATGAAGTTTGAATTTTGAGGAGCAGTTACAGTAAAATATGTGGTGTTGCTAGCACTTGAAAAATGCTTGTCAATAGTCCTTACCTTGAACTGTTGATCATCATAATGCAGACAAGTTTGGGAATACACCTTTGTTGGAAGCTCTTAAATCAGGGCATGATAGTGTTGCAGCAATTCTCGTCAAGAATGGTGCTCTCTTAAATCTAGAGGATGCAGGATGCTATCTCTGCAAAGTTGTTATAGAAAGCAATATTGACTTCTTGAAACGGTTGTTGGAAAATGGTCTTGACCCAAACTCCAAGAACTATGACCAGCGGACACCTCTTCATGTTGCAGCTGCAGAAGGTTTGCACTTGGTGGCAAAAATCTTGATTAAATTTGGAGCAAATGTTCTTGCTCAAGACAGGTATCCTTCCTGAAACATTTCTCACGTGACATAGTCTAAAATAAACTGAAAAAATAACCAAGCTCCTGATTAGGTGCCCATGAAATGAACCATTTGATTTCCTTTTTGGTGTAAAATTTCAGCCCACACCATGATCACCCGAAACAAGCTTAACCAAGATTAAGTGGAAATTAATCTATTTTAGATGGTCTATCTTTGATTCCCAACGTAATAAAAACCACATCAAAACAAATTCAATTTCACATGTCATGTAGACAGTGTCTAAGTTTTATATGTTAAGTACTTCAGAATTTTTGTTTATGCAGTAATGTAATAGTATAGAATCGAGTATGGGAGCAATATTCTGAAGTTTCCTTCTGATGATTATAGAACTGAACCACAGTATAAATGGATAATAAATTATAATTGTCAAAAGTTTCTACCTGATATTATTCAAATTCTGTGTACCAAGGGAAGTATTGTAAGACTCGTACCAGACTGGATGGTTGGACCATTAAACCCAGGAACTGGAAGCCATTCTGGTTTTTATTTCTTGGTTTTCAGATTTCTGGAGAACCAATAGAACCAGTCAAAAACATGCAGAAACATTGAAAATTGGCCAAGTTTCAACAACCCACCTGGCTCACTAAATCACCAGAAACTTAAAATGCCAATAGTAGGATTTGAACTCATGACCTAGTGGTTATATAGGTCGTCTTATTACCACTAATCTGTTTTGTTATTTGCGTTTACCAGAACCCTGGTCATATCTGGCCAACACTTTTGCATGCATCCTGTTTAATGCCCATAATTTAACAATGGATTTGTCATTAAACAGAACGGAATGGTGAAACAGTATTCATGTTTCCAATCCCATGTAGCTCAGATAAGGCTTGGATGATGATGATAATGATGATATTTCTATTACTCGTGGTCGAACTGTTTGACCTGCAACTTGGCAAGCATTCCGGTTTTATGTCTGATCTGAGTTTTACAACACTGGTTAAGGGGATAAGACTAACATTTTCCATTCATGACCTAATTGTGCATTGAATGCAATAGACATTATGTTCTCGACTCTTAAGCATGAACAAAAAGGGCTTATATGTATAAAATATATCCAAAAATAGGAAAAGTATGTTATATTATTTCTATAATGGCTGGTTTTGCTTCTTTTGACATAAAACCATGGTATTCTTTATTCAAAATAAAATCCACCTGGAATTGGATCTCTCTCAAGAGACTAGGTTTTTCTCTGGAATTCTTCCTTTGAATCGGCAGCCATGGCCGATTGTCTGGATATACTTGGAGATTGAAAGCATTCAAACCATTCTTTGCATCTAGTGTGGCATCCTCATCTTCTTCTACTTCTTCTTTCGTTCTTAGAAATCCTTCTCAAAATACCCACCTTGTGACATGGAAAACTGGCTGTTCTCTTCTTGGAGGATGATGTCCTCAGATCATATTATCACATTCAGTACGCACTGGTCACCACTCACTAAATACTCTTACGGAAGACCAGACCGGATGGGTTCATGTCTTTCACAGTAAATATTCCATCTCAAGCATGAAATGATGGTTACTTATTTGGATCCAACTTCAAGTAATGCATTGATTAGATTTTTGAACAAGATTACCTAAGAAGAAAAATTGCACATTTAAGGCTAAAAGCCATAGCAAACAACTACATAAATCAAACAAGAGAAGATTAAGAGACTTAAATATGTGTCTTTCTCTCTATCTCCTTTTTAGTCTTTCTCTCTTCATTATATATGCCATTTACATGTCATATTGACTTTTGTCTTCTTTTTGTTATTATACGCTTTATTAGATTCAGAATTTGATTTTGTAGTTGTGTCTTTTATTCTTTTTCTTTTGAAGATTAGTGACTGGTAAGTGAATAATATAAGAATAGCAATCAAATCATTCAATCACAGAGTCCCCATTCATTCTTTTAGGAAAAGATTTAAGAAAAAAATTGATCATTTTAATGAAATATTTTTGAAATGCCAATAAAATATTGGAGATATTAGGGGAAAAAAGGACTCCTGGAAAAGTTTGTATTGCCCCCTAGAAAAATGGGGAGATTTCAGGTAAATTTTGTCAAATCTTGCCGATATTGTAAACCCTGTTTCCAGCCAATCCACCGCCACTTCAAAATTTCCCTCAACCACAAAACCCTTATAGTGAGGAGAGATCTCCCTAGTCTTAAACCATGCAAGACTGCCAATAGTTCAGCTCTTGTGAAGTCCTCATACCCAGTAGGTCCTGAAAATATTGCCAATCTATCTACATTGCAGCTTCTAAAGACCCCTCCAGTCCTTGAATTCTCAGGATTGCCTAATCTGAAAGCATCAAAATTCATCTTGATAAGGTATTGTGAAGGTGGTAACCATGTTCTTATTCTCGGATCTCTCTAGTTGATGATGTGCTAGCTATTGCTCGCCAACCTCTTATAATTTCATTAGTTGGAAATTGGTTGAAAGTGTGCAATGATCTTGCCCAATGTACCACTCTTACCATCATCATCATCCAAGCCTTATCCCAACTATATGGGGCCGGATACATGAATCCTGTTTTTCAATTTCGTTCTATTTAATGCCATCCATATCTAATGTGTGACTCTTACCATAATGGTCTCAATTAGTGCTTCCTTGGGCTGACTTTTGTCTTTGAAAATTTTTGCATTCGGCTCCTCCCAAATTGTCCACAGTATAGCAGCCCTAATGCATCTCTATAATATCTTGCCCCTCTTCTTGGGTGGTGAGAAGAATGAAGTATTGAATAGGATACTCACATCAGTTAGAGGATTCCACCTACATCCAAAATGTGAGAAGATAAAATCGCAAGTACCAGATATAAATGGAGAAGAGATTAGTAATGAAATGTAGATTTCCCACTTGCTCTACAAAGAATACACATGGGGAGAAAGACACCAGTTTGTCCTTTTATTCTGAAGATGCTTTCAAGTTTTAATTTTCACATGTATAGCCTTCTGACTAAAGGCTCGGATCTTGGGTGGAATAAAATATTGCACTGACCAAATGAACCTACCACCACAATAAAGAAACATAAAATAGAAGTTGTAACCTCATGTAAATAGACAAATAAACATATAAACAGCTCCTCAACAAAAGGAATCAAAAGCTTAACAAGTGGGAGGAACTTTATTTTCAATTGGGTACAAAGGTCAGCAAATGGTGTGGCTAATACTTTAGCTAAACAGGGAATGCAAAAGGAATAGACTTTTGGGGAGTTGTAAACACTGGTTGGTTGTATGAATTAGTTAAGATTTTGGGTTTAGGAGTTGGCTTTGACAATAATTACCTATGGGGTACAGGGAACATTATGCATACGGTTTCTTTTTCCAATATTAATAAATTTTAAGTTATACATTGTTAGTGGAAATTTTTTTTTAGCATAAATTCTCACATAACATAATTCACTCAATTAGACCAGTAACTGGATTTTTTTGTTATTTGGGTAAGCCCCATTCAGGAAATCACATAGATGTTCCGTTAATTACATCTCTACTAGGGGCAGAAAAAACCTTTTGATTCTAATTCAGAAGTACCAATGAATAGAGATAAACTAAGTATCATTTTAATACAAAATTTTCCTTCGAAAATTCTGGTATATATTCCCTCTTTGTTTGAGAGAAATCCAGCGAATAAAGAAACAAACATTGTATGCACAACAAGTAAATAGGTATCATAAAACAGCATGTTTCATCAATAAGGCTACAAATGGCCTTTAAATTATGATTATGTACTTTTATCATGGTGTGAGGAACCATAATCAATCAAGTTTATGAACAAGGTTGTAGATGGTTTTTCCCTTCACACAAAGTAATGATTTTCAGGGTGAAAATGAAGTAAGGAATCATAATTAGCCAAGTTTCATAGACAAGGCTATAGATGGTTATCTCCTTACATATCYTTCARTATGAAACAAGGAARAAAAGAAAAATAAAAGGAAGAAAGAAAGGAGTGAGAGGAATTGATAGAATATGGTCTTCCATCTCATGTGGGAAGCACAAGGAGTATCAAATTGAAGAGGTGTAGGAAGAAAACAAGATTTCCTACCTTTTTCTTCCTTTTTCTTTTATGCTCTTCACACCAATCTTCTTCTCTTTTCTCTTCCCACTTGTTTCTTAGTGCTAGAAATCCTGTAAATAAATTAGTAATAGCCAACAAAAAGGCATTAGCCCCTTCTCCTTGTAGGAGAGGGTTTATATAGAGGAGGGAGGTGATTAAGTAACTCCCCACTCCTCTCTTCTTAGAGTGCTAAGTGTCACCCCACTTAAAATGGGTTAAGGAGGGAAAAGAAAACTCTTCCTTCCTAAGGTGACATGTGTCCCCCCACTTAAAGTGGTTAGCAGAGGGAAAATAACTCTCTCTCTCCTAGGGCAACATGTGTCCCCCCATTTAAAGTGGTTAGAGGGAAAATAACTCTCTCCCCTAGGGTGACATGTGTCCCCCCACTTCAAGTGGTTA